AAATTTATTAATAATACTTTTTTAATATTATCATTTTCATTATATTCTCTCTCTTTAGTTTTTTTTACAAATAAAATATTAGAATAATGATATTTTTAGAAGTTTATATTTTTATTTTAAAAATAATAAGATTGCAAAATATATTTAATACTCAATCTGTCCTATATATCAGGTATTTTTTAAAAGTTTATTTTATCCTCAAATATAAAGGATGGCAATGATACTTTTAAGTAATTAAGCAATTTTATTATTGTTTTGAAAAATAAAATATATCATTATTTGTATATTTTTCCTGCTACCATTATGATATTACTTATGATATTATTAGGAGTAAAATTAAAAAATTATTGTATTTTTATGTGAGTTTAATTAAATAATAAATTTTTATTAATATGTAAAATTTAGTTAAAAATATTTTATATATAAAGATAAAGGGAGTAAGCTATATTGACATATGTAATTTTATATAAAAATATGTTATAAATTAAATTGGAGAAGTACATTTCTATTTTCTAGCACATGGCACATCCGGTATTGGGGAGTCCACTCGTCACGTTTTTGGAAATAAAAATTGATGTCATGGGAGATGTTTCCGTGCACGGGTGAGACGTTCAAGCTTCCCTGCATTAATACATGCCTCCTTCTCTTGCATTTATGGCCTCTCCTACCCAGGCAACAACGTCATGTTCCAGCTCACGTTCAAGGGCACAACGTTAATGAGAGTAGTTGAAAAACGCCAACCACCAATTGGTCAAAATAGCCCTCCTCCGCCTAAACTCTCGCCGCCTCCATTAATTAGTTTGCTTGCTCTGTGCAACAAGTCCTACCACTAATGATTTAAAGACTGAATCAAACTTAGATAAAATCGAATTCTCAATCAAAGTTGTTAACCGTTCAATTTGAACAAAAATATTTTTTTTATAATTGAGCCAAATTAAACTAAAATTAAGCCACTATTAAACTAAAAATTAAAGTTAAATTGAGAATCAGAACAATTTTCAAAAATCAAGGCAGTTTCAAATATAATATTAAAAAAATTAAAAATTTTAAAAATTAGATTTGAGTAAAAGCCAATTTTATTGTTGAACAATTCACAAGTATTAAATATGATTTAAAACTATTTTTAATAAAGATATTGATAATTATAAATACAAATCTACTTATATTTAATTTAATCAAACCCACCTATATTTAAAAAGTTATAAAATTATAATTCATAATATTATTAATTTATAATAATGTTATGTTATTTTATTAACATAGTGTATATATATATATATAAAATATTTTTTATTTAATTATTATGTCAATCCAACCTTGTTTGATTATGTTAACTGTAAACTATTCACCTTTTTAAATAAAAATTCAGTCACATTGTTACAAGATATTTTATTTTTGCATGCTGGAGCCTAGTCCTATGTCACGCCTCAAAATAGAGGGTGACCGGCACGGGTGTGAATTACTTTCACATTCCCGTAAGCCTTAGAATGAATATTTATTTCATTCCTCAAGAAATGCAAAGTTCAATTAAACCATATGAGAATTTAAACAGCTTCTTTAAATTCATTATCATAAGAAACTGTCAACATTTTTGTAGAAATTTCGGCAGAATCTCCCCTGTAATTAGGATCTCCCGAAAATTCTACAACAAAATTTTTTTTACAATAACAGTATAATTCAGGAGCATAGCTCCTCTCAGCCATCAACCAATATACAGACCAAAAATAAGGTTTATTCACCATCTATGTGGAGCATCTACTTTTTCTTTCAAATCAAAACGACATACCAATCATATATTTACATTAAAATTACAATACCAATCAAAAAAGGGTCCACCCACTGTAGCTAATTGCCCTTTCTGAGGTCGTTGGTGGGATCAGCGTCAGCTAACAAATTTGAGACCAAAATAATTCTTCCAGTGAATAGCATTCCCATAAAATTTCTTAAAATTTTTAATCAATAAATTTCAATAATAGTGTCAGCTAGTCAAAAACAATGCTATCAAAATTTATAAACACATGAATTATAACCATATTTATGAAATAAGAGTAAATTGAGAATAATTTATGTTATCATGCTTAAAGAAAATGATATGTTCTCATATAACTCAAAATGATACCAATTATTAGTTAAAACCGGATAATTTCAAAAACACATATTAATCCACATTTAAAATTTTGAGAACTCAACAGAACAAGTTACAAACGTGAACACTCAGTTCACGAGGGTAAATAAACAAACGCGGTTTCTACCACGAAAACAAACGTGGACACACCAGTCCACGAGGGTAAATAACCAAACGCAGCCGTTGCTACGAAACAAACGTGGACACACAGTCCACGAGGGTAAGTGACCAAACGCGGCTCAAGCCACGGAATCAAACGCGGGTATGAAGCCCACGAATACCAAACGTGAGAATAAAACTCACGAAACAAACTAGCTAGTGTTTAACCACAGCGCGCTACGGGCTAACGGAACTGCCGTTAGCAACAGTGTTCTGCTTTGAATCCTCTTAAAAATCACATTTCAAACATACGAGAAGAATAATTATTGCTATAATAAAATTACCATTCTCAATGCCAAACTCGCATGAACTGTTTCAATTCTCAAAATTTGCAAAAGTCATATTTTTATGGCTAATATACCAAACTTGCAGTAATTGGATAGCCAATACATTCCGAAGCTTAACAACCACACAAAAATACTTTCATCAATCCAGAAAATACACTTTTGAAAATAATAAGTGCACGTATCATAACTCGTTTGTCCTTCATTGTTATTGCAAAATTTTCAAAACTAATATAATTCATAAGAATAAAATATTCCAGAAAAAGGCTATTAAAATAAATTAAATGGAATGCTATTCAGTTACTTGTTGAAGTTTCAAATTCTCAAAATATTCCTTGCCTTTAATTCTGGTCAGAATCTCGTTCTTCCTCGCACCCTATCAGAATATATATATATATATAAATAAAAATGAAATTTTTAACATAATTCCAAATCAATCACCATCATAATTAGAGTTGATCCAAGTGTTATCGTTAACATCACTAGTCCCCCTCAATTTCGTTTTAGTTAAACCATCCATTCATGATTCCATAGCTTGCATACTTATATATTTCTCCCACCAAACTTTATCCTTCATACTTGCAACCTTCCCCATATATATATACATTTATTTTTATAGGTTTTGCACCAATTACTTTAGGTGCATAAATTCTACTTAATTAAATTAATTATCCAAATCACTCTCCTCCTCCCTTACCTTAATAGTTTCTTTAATCATATTCAATTTAACTCAAATCCATTTAGCCCATAAAATTATGACCCAGACCCACACACACATATATAGCAAGTCTTTGAACAAACTTCCAACTTAAATTTGAATCTTCTCCCTCCTATAACAGCACGGCATAATAGTAACAAGAAGCATGCATAATATATATACTCCTCTCTCTCTCTCTCTCTCTTTTTTTCTCAGCCACGTACAGCCATAAACAGTCACAGGGAAGCTAAATTTTTTTCTATTACCGGTTCACATATATACTGAGTAAAAGAAGCCTAAACGTGAAGCCTTCTCACCTTGACTCACCACAACAGAAAACCAGGATGAAGAAATTGAAACAGTCGGCTGAACAGGGGAGATATAATCTAAACACTGTCACGATGCACAGCAACGAAAGGAGCTTGACTCCACAGCACCGATACAAGCTTACAATAATAGCTCTACTCTGTTTTGATGCTTTGTGATTTTTCAGCTCAAAACACACGGACTGAACAGCATACGGAAAAATGCAGAAACAGGGAACACGTAACGGTAAAGTAGAGCATAAAGCTCACAGTTGAGCTGGGAAAGAAAAGAATCATGAATCCAGCTCCAACGACTAAGTTCACAGTGGCAGCAACCCAACTGACGATAGAAATCGAGCAGCGACCGAACTCAATGAAGACAGCCAGAAACAGACAGAGAACGATAATAAGGACAGGGAACACAGAAAAAAAAACTAACCAGAGAAACTTTAGCTTCGACTGCACCAGCCACCACCGTGAACAACAAGGAAGATGAGTCAGTGATCTCTGAAACAAGAAAAGGTCAGAGGTATAGGAAGGTTAAGTCGGTCATATTCTTAGACTCTCATTCTCTCTCTGTTTTTCTGGAATAGCTGAGGAAGAGAAGGAAGGTTTTATCATTTTTAGAAAAGGGCAATTTTGTAATTTCAAAGAAGCTGAAAAAAATAAAATTCCCTTTTTGTTGCATCAGGGATTCGAACCGGAAACCTTCAATTGCTTGGCATACATTCTTCCATTCTACCAATACTCCTTATTGTTATAATTATCCCTAACATAACTAAAATATATTCATATAATTAATTCAATAAGTATATATATATATATATATATAGATTGTTTAAGGCTATTACATCCTAGTACTGTTCAAGAACTGTTTTAGTCCCTATCAATCAATGTGTGGTTCTGGCCAAAAAAAAAAAAAAAAATCAATGTGTGGTTGACAGACATCCATGCTGGGAGTTCCTGGAGTTACTATGGATTATGGATTCTGAGTTTCTCTGCTGCTGCTAGTGCAACATGAAGAAGCACCGCTGGGAAAAAAATAAAAGCTGAAACGCAACCTCAGGCGTTCCAATAAATACTCAAAGCTCAAATTGCAGTGTCATCTAACTGGTTCCAGTTAAGCAACTTCCTCCCACGGTTCTGCATTTAACTCCCTTCCTGTATTTATTTATTACTCTCCAGTCCGACAGTCGCGAGCATTAAAGAAGGTGCATGTCGTTTTAAATTTGGAAAAGCCATTAGTAATAGTAATAATGTTTAGTGGTAATTCAACTTTCAAGAATCCATAAAGAAAATTTTGTTGAAAAGATTTTTCTGTACTAATCAATTCCCATTTGATTAAAGTTCTCATCTCACCGGTGAGGATCTGCTCAGTATAACCGGAATCGTCCCGGAGATCGCGAGATTCCAACTCAAATTTTACAGTATTCAAAACGAACTGAAACAACGTTGATTCAGTCAAGTTAAAAATAAAGTCCAGATCTCAAATACAGCTCTACTAGATCAGCCTAATACCTAATTTCCCATTCAAGAGAGAAAAAAGGTTTCAAAATGGAGGGAAAATAAAAGAGCCTCCCTGCTTACTGAGACAGGGCTCAAAGAAGGCACAATCTTTCTTCCAGTCGTAGGAAAAGGCAACGACCCCTTTGGCCTTGGCGCTGCATGAGATGGATGAATATGGCGGGATTGATACAACAAGCAATAGACCCTCCAGAGATGACGTCCGTTATAATAGCTTTTGATGCTGCTTTCTGTTCTGTCCTGGACTCTCTCTGGTTGTCTCAAAAAAATCAGAGAGGGAACTTCTCTGACAAACTTGAGAAGAAAGAATATCTCTAAATCTTTCAAAGGTGAAGAGATGAAATAATATGGATAAAGAAAGCTGGGAACGGAGACATGGTGGTGGACGCGAAGAAGGTATGCTGAGAGAGGGATGACATGACTAACGGTAAGAACGAAGAATGGATCCACAAAAAGTGCAAACGATGGCTCTCCAAGATTTCCAATAAAAAGGGACGTGACAGAATCTAGTGGCCGTCTTCATATCTGCCACGCTCGCTCCGCCGCCGCATCGCGAACAAATCCCGGCGGCGGGCTTGCTCCTCTGCACTTGCCTTGTTTGGTCCACCAGGAAACAGAAGCAGACCATTCTTTCTCTGAACACGATTATTTGATAGGGGTTTAGAGTTGTCTATACAGAGTACGTATATATACTGATACACACACACGCATGTATATATACGGAGGGAGTATATATTTCGGTGGGGGCTAAAACCGGGGGCTTGTCGAACGTCAAGTTGCCGCTTATATCAGCCGCTGACAAATAGTAGAATGGTGAAATGAGAAGTGGATGCGAATAAGATATAAATATGATGATGATGATGATGATGATGGATAACAGCCTAGTGCTGCTTGTAATGTTAAACATCCATTTTAAAAAAAAAAAATTATGTATTTTGTTGACCCGTTTACGTTTATATCTATTCCCTTTAATTTTTTTTAAAAAATTGTATTTAATTTCTATAAAAAATTTATGCGTGTCAGTGTGTGAGTGCGTAATTGTAACAGATTTTGACCATTTTTTTTAAAAAAGACTAGCCTTCCTTTTTACATTCTAAAAAGCAACTGTTTGAATTTAATTTAAAAGCAAAAATTGCTTAACCAAACGTGAATCCAATAAAATAAAACAGACTAATCGTTGCATATGACTGTGTAGCCGGGACGTAATGAATTTACGGTTGGTAGTTGGTCCGTCATCGTTGATTTTAAGCATTCTTTTTGGACGGTGAGTCCTCTAAAATTGTTTTATCCAGAACTTGAAGTGGTGGTGGCTATTAAAAAATTAATCTTTTAATTCTTTAATTTTTAACTTATTTATAAATCAATTCTTCAATTATGACTCACTGTAACTCAGTCTCTCAACTTTTGATTTACCTATAACTCGGTCCTTATTTTTTAATTTTTTTAAAAATTTTTTTATCAAATAAGAGGGATAAAAAAATGTCCATATATTATTTTAAAATACCCTCTTCTTATTCATTAATGTGAGATATAAGCTAATATGAAAAAAAAATTAACAAAGATTGAGGGACTAATTTGTAAGTAATTTAAAAGTTGAGGGACTGAGTCATAGGCGAGTTATAGTTGAGGGACTGAGTCACAACGAGTCATAGTTAAAGGATTGAGTTACAAGTGACTTACAAGTTAGAGGACTAAAAGATTAATTTTTCTTTTAAAAAATGAAATGCACTAGGAAAAGGTTGTTATCCTCTACAATTAAAAAAGTTAAAGAGAATAGAAAGAAAGAAATAAAGAAAAAGAAAAATAATCTCGTCTTGAGAAACTTCATAAAATTTCAGTGACTGTTAAGAAGTCCTTTGTCTTTTATACATATTTGATTATTTGTCATCACGGAACTCCAAGTAAGAATTTAAAGCCAATGAAAATCGATTATCAATGACAGACCACATGCAATTGAAAGGGGCGCATGTCCTCTTTCAATTGGAAAAAATTAGACGTAATAGGGTAAAGGTATTTATATTTTGCACCATTTCATTTTATATTTTGCATCTTTTTATTTGTAATATTTAAATTTTAAATTCATTTTATGTTACTTTTAATGCGGATTCAATTTTGAACTTAGAGCCCGGTAAATTTTATCCCACCGTTTTAATTCCGCCTTGACTAAATCTCCCGATCTCGCTTTGTTCCGTCTCGCGCTAGGCTGGTCTGCCACTGCCCATTGGTCTTTGAAGAACTAAAGCACATCGCCGGTCCCACATTGCTTTGTCTTGCTGCTCTGTCTTTCGAGAATTGAAGCAAGGAAAAGAAAAGAGAAGAGGACGACGGAAACAGGAGAAGGAAGGGCAAAGACCAAAAATATAAAAAAAAAAAAAGTAAAAGCTTTCTTTTCTTCACGTACAAAAAAAGTTGCATCAGTAATGCCATTCTTCAAGCAAATGTATTATTTAATGACATTAAAAATTATTTTTCTATAATTATGACATTAAAAACTAATATTATATTTAACTTATATGAGTTTGTCTTCAATGCTTATTTTTTTCACTTTTAAATTTTAAGTAATAAATTAGTTTTTTAGCCATTCTCTTAATCTTGAGTATATTATAATTGAGTAATTACAAATTGTATAAGTTTTGAATAGAAAATGAAGAGATTTTTCAAAAAGAAATTATTATCACATGAACAAGAACAATCATCTTCATCAAAGCCTTGTAAATTGAGTTTTCAACCACACCAGCAAATTGGAATAAACTAGCAAGATTTATAATCTGATTCAAGATAAAAAATTAAAATTTCATCATACTATTGACCAAGAAAAGCAACGATTTGCGTAAAGGATCATATCAACCTATCCAACATAATTTCCACAAAGAAAATTTGAAAATTATAGAAACTCAAAGCAAAACTGATGAATTGGGACCAAATATTATGTTTTCCCTTACGCCTAAGTCTTTGCCCTTTCTAAGTTTAGTTATTTGAAATCTTTAAAAAATATGTTATAATTAACTAATATTATCTGCAATTGTTTATGATAATTTTTCAATTTCATAATCAAGTATTTTAGTGATAATATATTAATTTTTAATACTTAAAAAATTCTAATTATTGTTAAAAGAAATTCTTCCGTGCTCAAGAGATTTTTCACTAAAAAGAGTAATTAATAGTAAAAAAATTAGTGAAGATGAATACATCTTGATGATTATAAAAAATATCATATAAAAAAATTTTAACTTGATTTAAACTTAAATCAAATCAAACAAACATAACGATTTAGATGAAAAAACTGAATGGATTTCAACCTATAATGAATCAATTGTATATAGTGTTTCTTCAAAACTAAGCTGTGAAAACCCTTAAGTTGTCTCCAAGTAAAAAATGAGGGCAACTTCCAATTTTGGATCGGAAGGGGGAAGAACGAATGGGGAAAAAAAACCTGAAAGTTCATTTTCATTAATCTTAAAAATGATTTCACAATAATATCTGATTTCTAATTAACTTATATATAATATAATATATATATATTACTGCTACCTTTCGGAAGTTCATTACCAATTATTTACACAATAAACATTGCATAATATACATAGTTCTTGATCGTAGTAAGCAACGATCAAATATTGAGTGAGAATAGTACAAGTACAAAAATTGAAGGTAAACAATAACCTATGAAACACGTGATGAATAGAGAGATGAGACAAGGTTGATTTAAATGCATCACTAGAATTTCTACCTTAATCATGCTGGTCAAACTTAATTCTACTCCAAAGCCTAAGAGAACGCATCCAAAGGAAAGATTAAGAAAGCAGGGTGAAATCAGCAGCAAGTCTTTGGTTCTGAAAGTGCCTGGAGTTTGTCATAGAGCCGCCATGACGGTGCTCCTCGCGGCCTCACGCCTAGCCTCCGCAGCCTTGCCGCTCCACGGAAGTACATTAATACTTGCTGCCAATATCAATGGCGAGCCGTCAAATATGGAAATCTCTCAAGAGAATAATGCCTTAGCTAAAGGAGAGAAATGAAAACCTGAATAAACGTAGATGCTCAGCATAGACTCAGCACAGAACAACGCAAACCCCACAAAGTATAATATCTGCAAGTACGTAAACATTGCATAATATACATAGTTCTTGATCGTAGTAGGCAACGATCAAAATATTGAGTGAGAATAGTACAAGTACAAAAAATTGAAGGTAAAACAATAACCTATGAAACACGTGATGAATAGAGAGAGAGACAAGGTTGATTAAATGCATCACTAGAATTTCTACCTTAATCATGCTGGTCAAACTTAATTCTACTCCAAAGCCTAAGAGAACGCATCCAAAGGAAAGATTAAGAAAGCAGGGTGAAATCAGCAGCAAGTCTTTGTTCTGAAAGTGCCTGGAGTTTTGTCATAGAGCCGCCATGACGGTGCTCCTCGCGGCTTCACGCCTGGCCTCCGCAGCCTTGCCGCTTCCACGGAAGTACATTAATACTTGCTGCCAATATCAATGGCGAGCCGTCAAATATGGAAATCTCTCAAGAGAATAATGCCTTAGCTAAAGGAGAGAAGTGAAAACCTGAATAACGTAGATGCTCAGCATAGACTCAGCACAGAACAACGCAAACCCCACAAAGTATAATATCTGCAAGTACGGAAGAAATAATGCATAATATCCTCCGTTAAATGCTGCCTGTTGACAGGGCACTGACAATGTTAGAAGTACCGTGTGTGATATTGGAACTTACCCCAAGCATGTGACGATCGCCTATAAAATATAGGGCTGGAAAAAATCCTCTGTTCATAGCATAACATCATACATGGCGCATATTAGTTCACGCAGGTACGGAAGCAGAAGGCAATGATTTGATGATGATCATTATCATACAAGCAACATAAGATTGTTAAGTCGATAATGTAACTAATGAATAAATTCCATGTGGAAAACTTACGTGAGAGAATGTCCTGCAAGGACAAATGGAGGAGCAACTGAAGCGTAAATGCAGAAACAGATGTGGACCTGCTTGGAGAAAAAGAGTGGAACATGAGATGAGAAAAACTCTAGTGCAGGTGCGGAATGAATATGCTGCGGAGGAAGAAAATATATGAACTTGCCATGTAACTTAGGAAAAACCAGCCAAACTTCAGAGCACTGTCCGTCCTGTGATTGAAGATGGGAATACAATTATCAAGCAGAAGCATACCAAAAGGAAGAAGAAAAATTCTAAATAGATGACAGCCGGGGAAAAAAAAAATGAAGGACTCCATCAGATTGAGCACTACCTCATGGCACGATAAAGAGGGCGATACCATAATACGTAGGCTCCTGGAACGCCACAAATGACGTAGATGATAGCGAGGAACAATATTGCAGGACCTACAGGTTAAGAAGACGAGTCCTTCTAAGGGTAGCAAGACCAAAATTAATGAATAATTAATGGGCCAAAATCTAGTTGCAAAACCAACCTTGGCCATTGAAACAGCCCACAAGCATTGTGAAGAGGTTCCACAGAAGGCATAAAACCAAACCTGTACATTATTTGAAGATGAAATGGTATCGTATCATTTTCTATGCCGTAATTTAAACACAGCTGGATTAAGACAAAACAATTTTAGTACACAGAATACAAAACAACAACATACCTAAAAGTGTTGCAAATGCAACATACTGCATCCTCTGAAGATGTATTGGTATATCATTTGCGATGTCGTGATGAATGATAGGGAGGCAAGATGGCCAATTTTTTACCTCTAAAGTTATTCCAGCTGCCAAAAAGGGAAATAAGGTTTAAATTACCAAACGAAACCCATTATAGTGGTTGGTCTTCATAGCAATAGAGGAAATAGCGTACCCCGCGCTATAGCATCTTCCTTTCGTTTTATTTCCTGCAAAAACATCATGGGAGAATGAAGTCCCTATTTAAAACATTTAATGTCTGCACGATGACTAGGTTAACTGAAGAAATGTGGTATCACCAAAATTCAAATTGCAGTTCATCAACGCTTCAAACTAAAAATTCAATACAAGGAACCACCTTTTGCTAGTATGAAATATTAAAGAAGAAAATTGATAACAGCCCAAGTCTTTTCAAATCAGCGAGAACTGCTGCTACTAAACAGGCCTCTGATATTGAACTTAAACTTAGTATTAGCAACATCTTTACAAAATGCAGCGGCATATTAACAATCTAAAGTATTGAGCACAACAAGATTGGCTCCTAATTTCTTGCAAAAGCAAGCCGAATTTCAGGTTATCAATGAAACAAGATATCAGGATAAGTCACCTGTTCCCTCCTAGCCAGTTCAGCCTCTCTGGCTTTGAGCTCCGCTTCCTTTGCTTTGAGGTCCTGACAAAGAAGGACAGAGTAAATTTCTTACCAAGAAATACACTAAGGAAGCAAAATTTTGACATTCAATTCAACACTTGGACAATCCAGTCAACCTTTGAGATGTCAAAAGAGGACTATCAATAATGGTACCAACATCATAAGGCTCAAGAGGAAATAGTGAGAACTATGAGATTGTGCGTAAAAGCAACAATTTTTCAAAATCAAATTATGCATGAATAATGCATGATCGTTTTCATTTTATGCTTGCTTACAGATCATATAAACTTTTATCAAAGGCTCAAAAAGAAATCTATCATGACCTTTACGTAATCGTTTGTTTTTGGGATGAAATGGTCGAATTAAAGTCTCTGGAGAATGAATACGCGGTCAGAAATTCAATCCTTGCCATATGATGGCTCTGTACCTCTGACAATATCAAGATCAGTTGAAAACGATTAAAAAATTTAGGATCTTGACCCAATTGAAGAGGAACAATAACCATGCAATGCCTTTTGGTACAAAAACCACACTCTGAAAAAAAGCTCTCTGTTTATTCTTCGTTTGCTGTCTTACAAGTGAAAGGGAACAGCTATTTATACTAAGCCTTAGGGAACAAAGACTTAAATGTTAGGAGGGAGTTTCAACTGTTTCATGAGCTGTTTCATGTTTTCATTAGGCTGGAAAAGGTTACAGAGAGTTATGGAGCATTTAAGGTCATCAATGGAGACGTTTTAGACTTCAAAGAGTTACATACGTTTACGTTTTCAGGCTTCTATTTCAACCCCCCTGTGTTGAGCGGAACTCGTCCTTGAGTCAAATTCAGCCCCGTCATCAAAGCAGGTTGACAACTTAGCAAGGTTGAAAGTAGTAAACACTCCATAAGCACTAAGCAATTTTACTTTCTAAGCATTGTTGTTGATTTTTTATACAATCTTAAATGAGCCATCAACTCTTAGGGACAGCTTGACAATCCCCAGTTTGACCGTCTGTCTAGGGATGACTAGCATTGTTAAATTGGAGTTTAGTTCTCATCTTCTTCCATAGTATCTACCAAAAGTGGATGAAAAACTTAATATCTCAATCAAAAGTGATAGTCTTAGGAATGCCATGGAGATGAACAATCGCTTTAAAGTATAAATTTACTACTTAAACAGCATCATTAGCCTTATGGCATGGAATGAAGTGGGCCATCTTTGAAAATCGATCCACAACTATCGTGACAAAATCTTTATGTTTTTGAATTTGTAGTAAACCAAGAATAAAATCCATGCTCACATCTTCCCATAGTACTTTTGGAATTGGTAATGGCATGTACAATCCTATATTTTGACCCTTGGCCTTAGCTAAATGGCATGTCCTACATCTCTGTATATGTCGATTGACATTTCGTGCAAGCCTCAGCCAATAGAAATTCTTCTTGACTAGATCAACTATTTTGTCTCAACCAAAATGACCAACTAGTCCTCTGTCGTAAGCGTCCCAAATTATAACCTCTTGCAAGGAACCTTAGAGAATGCATAAGGCTTTGCCTTGAAATAGAAACCCATCATATCTGTAAAACTGGCTTAGTAGCCAAGGGGGACAGAGAGAATACTTTCACTTTGATAAAAAATTCTGTTATTCTTTCGTGATTTTGAATACAATGGAAAGATTAATGCTATTTATACTAGTCTCGAGTAGGCAAGAAATTAATGCTAATGGAAATATTATGGAATAATTTAATTCTAAATGGAGGGAATTATGGGATTTAAAAGTACTTAAAAGCACTTATTGGGAGCTTATGAAAATTACAAACACTTATTATAATTTATGAATAAGAAAGTTATAAAAACAGTAAGGGTTATGGAGATAGAGCACTTAATTCTGTCTCATTCTCTTTGAGTTGAACATGACTCACCCAAGAGTCAAATTTAGCATCATCACCAAAATACAGAATTGATGAACAACTTTGAATTGCAGAGACTCCACAAACATAAAGAAACTCTACTTTCTTTGAATAGGCTGATGTGTCACTGACTAAACACTTTAGGATGACAAGTTATTGACATGATTGTCTTCAACATCTATCAGACATGTGTGAATAATCCTTAGCCCTTGGTTTTTGGACCTTCCTAGCATAATGGTAACATCTGTTTCACTTGAAACTAACCAAAAATGGGTGTTCAACGGTGGCAATGGCAAATTGACTTCTATAAGCTCACTTTTTCAGGCCAAACTCATACCTCCTTGTCTCTTAATCACTCCCCATTAGGCTTGAGACCCTTCTCTGATACCAAACTAGCTCAGGAGTTAAGGGGGATAGAGGGAACACTTTTACTTTGATAAAAAATTATATTTTTTTTCACAATTCCAAATACAATGGAATGAGGGCTATTTATACTAATCTCAAGTGGGCAAAAAATTAATGCTAATAGAAAGGTTATGGAATATGATTCTAAATGGAGAGAGTTACAGGGTTTAAACGTACTTAAAAGTACTTATTGGCAACTTATGGAAGTTACAAACACATTATAATTTATGGATAGGAAAGTTATGGTGATAGTAAGGGTTATGGAGATAGGACATCCAATTCTATCTCACCTTTGAACAAGGGAAAACAGGGGTTCTTGTACTGACATTATATGCTTACTTTGTTTGTCAAAAATATGATGGACATAAATTGATCTATATTAAAATTCTGGTATCCAGAGAGGGGAAAGTGAAATCTTACAATATTAGAGAATCTGCCTCCACCATTATTTGATTGCCCTGATGATTTTCCTTTGGTTGATCCACCCTGATAGTGATGATGAAGATAATGAAGTCTTGATCGTTACAATAACAAATGATAAGATAGGTTGAAATAACTCAAAACACATTTAAGGTAGCGTCTGTGCAGTTTCAAATTCATGCAAGCAGCGGTCATATCATGATTATCTCCATGCACCAAACAATTTTAGAAAACAGAAATAGATTACTGTATCACCCCCCCCCCCCAAAAAAAAGCAGAGGAAAAAGAGCAGATTTGTTGGCCTCCAACATGAAGAAGGTATTACATTCCCAAACACAATTCTAAACACATTTTCTTCCTGTATATTGTATAATTTTTTTTTAAAAAAAGTCATATTATTCATGGCTTGCAAATATTGCAACTTGTTTAGATTTTATATTTATATTAATATATTTTTGACTTGTTATACCAAGACAGGAAAAATTCATTCTCCAGTATCGTTTAGTTAAAATCTTTTTATTGTTTTGCCTTTTAAGTTTCAACGTTTAGGAGTATCAATAAAATGTGTCATGAGAGCCTGTTAAGTTATGCTGGCAAATTTACCTGTGTCCGATTAAATAGAATTCAATTTCATCAGATTCTTGTTGGCGCAAACAAGAAATGAACAAGAGAGAGAAATCAGAGCCATTATTCAGCTTTGCTCAAAGGTTACTGGGGGCTTGGGGCTGATTCTGGAGAAGTTCTATAGTTCATCAATCTTAAACCTACGAGATTAAACCCTCGGCCCATGTATCATGTTCAGATTAAACCAACGAGATTTCTTTTATTATTTTTCTTTCAAAAAAGGCGTAATTATTATTTTTATTATTCTTCTTACAAAAGGCGAAAAATCATTCGGCAGGGCATGCAGGAAGGATGCATGTGAACTAAGCTTGAATTAATTTTAGTTAAAATCATGAATCAAACCGGTCAACAATTTAAGTGCATAAAACAAGAAAAAGAAAATGGAATTAATATAATTGAAAGGGGAAAAAGGCATAAAAAGGTAACAGATAAGAGATATGAATGGGGAAGATATATGAGTAAAATTATCAAAATTACCGCAAAGGGATTCACATCCTCATCGAAAGGATTGTCGTAGCCACTCATGGGGACTGGCAAATGGTCAGACTAATCAAAATCAAAAGACGAGGGAATGCAAACGCTTGTGGGATATTTAAGAGCGCTTGAAATATGAAGAGAGGTATGGCTCTAGATATTGACAATGCAAAAGAGAAAGGGACAGGGGAAGGCTTTGAGCTTCGAAACCAACGGGGCGGACGCCTGCCTCTCTTGTCGATACTGTTTGCTTAGTGGAAAAACCAACAAACAAATACGATGCCAATTTGTTGGCACGAGACCGATGAGAAACAAGGAGAAGACAAGGAGGCAAAATCTTCATGCGCTCTTGACACTAACGAACGTCCATCATGGCTCAACCAACAACAACAACAACAAATAGTGCCATTAGACTATTGGCCAAAACGAAAAATGGTGGGGACACACCTGAGATTAATTTTAGAATGCCGCTATTTTTATAATTTCTGTGATTGCAATACATATAATTCTACCTGTAAGTTTATCTCAACTGCTCACATTTATAATATTAAAATCTGGTTAATTCATTTATATATGTAATCAGTAATTATACTTGTTATGTAAATTGCATTTTTACAGTCTTCCTTCTTAACGTTACCAAATCAATCCCTCCACTAAATTTTCGGCCTTAAAAAAAAAAAAATCCGTAGACTAAATTTAAAAGATCTTTCTATTATAATTTTCGCCGGCCTATACCAAGATAGAAAAGGCCTTTATCCACCAATCTAGTTTTAGAAGTGAATCACAAAAAGTCCACCATTTTCAATTTTTCACGGAACTTCGCATATTAGTAGGGTGACCAAAGGATTGTGATTCAATGGATATACTTAGTACAAACACTTTGAACTATTAAAATTTAAATTAATAATTATGAATTTATATTTCATTTGAGATTAATGAATAAGTAAATTTTCTGAATCGTTGATGTAGATTTTAACGACTCAATACTAAATACAATCATCTAATCTAAATCCATGAACAACTCAGTATCTTGGACAAGAAAATGACAGCAAACACTTATTTAATTAGCCCATGATGGTGTATGCATTTGATATGATAAAATTACAATACTCGAACATAATAGGCAGGAGGATTACCAGATTGCTGTATATTTCATTATCCAGGATGCACAACGCTACAGAATTACATTCTTCACCAGCTCAGAATAAATTATCAAACGATGGATTGCCCAAAACGTCCCGGCAAGAGAAACATTAGGATTACCAAATCATATTTCGCTGTCAAGGGTGCACCAAATGGGATTCCATTCGATTTATCGATAAATGGATTAGCAAAGACTTCCCGGCCATACACACATAATTTAATTAATTGCGGAGCCATTTTTCATGAATTCCACTCCAGAAATTCGACGAGTATGGATGTCTCGTAGATATTCAGCACACAATGATATCTCTGCAAATTCATTCACCAGCTTTTTTTCCTTGCCTGGAAAACTGAATCATATATTAATCACAAAATACGCACTTTATAAAAGATCAGAAAAGCCTATTCTCTCTTTTCATCATCAACCACCTTGATGCAACAAGGTGGATTCGCGAGCATATTTTTCTTCGTTCTTCATTCACCTTGATCCACTATAGCGAGTACTGGGCTACCTCTCTACATTTGTGGCCTAAATTCTGGCTCTGACTGCAGCAGACACATTAAGGCTGGCAAATCAATATCGTCACATATAGGGGATATATATGGATAAAGTATGCAAATAACTTATATCAGTTCATGCTTTCTTAGCTGTAACTTGTAAGCATAACTCTGGCATGTGTGAATCCCAAAGCCCCATAGCCTTAAGTAGCAAGTTGGTCCACACTAGTCCCTTGTGTATTTACAGTATCAGTGCCAACAGAACGCATCTGCTATTGAACTTCTAATCTCACCCCCTTCTTTCCAAATTGGTCCATGCCAGACTACCAGTCCCATGCGTCTTTGCTGGCAGTGGCAGTTCCACGATAATCACAAGCATAGATGCATGTAGGAAGAAACATTGTTGAAGGTAGCATCTATTTTTGAATAATTGCCTTATTTATGCCAAAAACAAAGATGCTTAATGTCACAGATTAGGCCTAATATTAGTATGGTCCAAATAGCCTTTAAGGGGCTAATAAGAATGGAGGTAGAAATTGGCTTGTGGGCTTTGGAGAAATTCAAATGGCCTGGCAGAAGGGTTAATGGTCTAGGTTATTATATGATATATAGAGGAAGAATATGCATGGGAAAGGAATAGAAGAATATTGATAAATTATCTCCCTATGACTGTTCTTCTCTTATCTGACCTTTCTATTATGTTCTTTCGATTCCAATGAATTAATGCTTTATTATGATTGTAATAGGATTTGTTGAAGATTATTACCTATAATTGTTGATATATGAGTAATTTCCATTTGAATTTCATATTTCTCCAGTATTTTCTATAATCTTTGTCCATTAGGGTTGGTGACCGTGACACTTAAGCAACTTATAAGGAGTCACCAGGATAGAGGAAGTCCACCAACAAAATTTTGGAAATGCAATTAAATGCAAGTAAGCCTAACCAGAAATTGAAGATTGAATATGTGGACTATAAACTAAAAGCTGACAACCTAGGAGGCTTTTTTACTGTGAATTGTCGCTTTACTTAGTCTAAGGCTCCAATTGCCTCAAGTGCTATCTATTTCCAAGCATTCCATGACAGTCTTGGTCTGAACTCATCATTTGAATGAAATTCAATATGAAGTGACTTGTTACTGAAGTACTCATTGAACAGACCACTTTGACCATGTTTTGCACAGTATCCTATAAGCTTCACAACGTTTGCAAGTCGAATCCTATCAGTACTGGTCACCAATTCAAGAAATTCCCCATCCTTTTGGTGATAAGAGGTTTTCTTGTCCTATTTCTTCAAAGCATGTAGCTTACAGTTTATTTAATCATTACATACATAATACAACATGATTGGTTTAGAATGGGAACTATGTACGTATATACCTCGACTGCGTATAAGCGGGGCAAACTTGAAGTTCTCAACTTGTGAAAAAAGCACTACTTAAAACCGATCACCAAACAACACGCCGACCACATGAAGAAAAACTCTTCATGTGTCACCTCACAGATTGATATATTATTGAAAAAGAAAACAATAATTAACAGGACAAAATCATGGCATCCACGACTTAAATATCATTTTAAAGACTTCAAGAAAGTGTCATAGTTCATGACTGTTGGCTATGTAAAGGTCATTTACGGTTCCAAAAATATTGGTTATTAGTGTTCAGGAAGAATGGCCATATATAGCAAAATAGTGGCCAGGGGAAATAAACAACATATAGTCTACGCCTGTTTCATCAGTATATTCCATATAAACCAGTTCAACTGATTGTTGACAATTATACCTTATCCTCAGGAAACTCTGCCTTATAAACACGTACGTTGCTTAGCAGGATTGAACTTTGGAGACTCCCCCCGTACCTTTTAATCTTCATCGGTTTTATAGTTAGAGTTCAGTTCTCCCTGAATGGAGGAGCTTCTCTCTTGAAGGATGAGCAGCAAGATTCAGTAAGAGAATCTGGATAGTGGGAACTCAAAAAGGGTTTTAAAAGATTAAACACAGATTCTTTTTTTTTTTTCCTCTGCCAACAGTCTGTATCTATGACTCCATATGATCTATGCATCCATATTATTCTAATAAATTTCGGCAAACTCGCATGCATGGGTAGCACTTCAAACGGGGATCTAGTACCCGGCATAGTGGCATTCCCTGTGTGATAACCATGCGAGTATAATCATGCCACTTTTCTCTCTGAATTATTGTAACCTGTGCGAACTCACTAAAATGCACTTTTCCATTATATTATTACAGATGCATGAATATGTCTTGATCATGTAGCATGAATGATAGATCAATTGTGTTATTAGTATGTGATAGGAGCTGCTATATGTAGCATCTAGCCTCGTCGTGAGATGATCGATCATACAAGGCAGGTGAATGAATTTAGATTCGATCAGGAGATAATTTTTCCCTGCCAATGAAAAAGGTGGATTTAACATGTCCTGAATACGCCGACTAATGCCGCCTTTCACCGTTGTCGTTTATAATGTAACTATAATCACGGAAATTTTATTCAACTCTTATTCGAGACTGCATTCAAATCTGATGGTGTCAATCTGGCTGAAGTGGCATTGCAATTTTGAACTTCTTTAGTGGCTGGTGTCCAACTCATTCAAAAGGGATAATGCAATTTTGAACCAGTGTTGGGGTTTACAAACGGCATTGTCCAAGAAGGAATAAGGAGCGCAACTTCAGCTGGCAAAAGGTACCTTAGCATGGAAATTGAAAGAAATCTGGAATGCCTAGTGGTCCCTTTGCACTCTGGGGGCTAGCTAGTTGTTAGGAGGGATTATGTTGCAGTACAAGTTAGGTGGGGCAAATCTTGGTGGGGTTTCGATCTTGAGTGATAATCAAAATGAATTAAACTGATACTATTCTCTCTAGTAGTCTAAAGGCCCCCATGACCCCATCGTTTGAATTTTAGCATTTTAATTCTTGGAAGAATTTTTCAGAGAACACTGGCAGTCTTCAATATCTAACTTTGTCTTCATCTCTGGAGTTCTACAAATGTATTTGATGCTGCGAGGCTGATCTCAGTGTTTGGAATGAGTTGAGATGCTTGCTTGTTCATATATGATAAATTCTGAATTGAACGTAAAAATCTCAATACGTATCAACAAATTTTTTTTTTGGCCAAAATATACGGATTAACAATTGAGTGGTCCTCTTTTATAACGAAACCTTCCCAACCTTCTACTTTTCATCATGTGCTATACTTATATTCACAAGTGCACCGGATTATGAAAAAAAAAAAAAATTGAATGCGATGAACAGTCCATTAAACTATAATTTTTAACAATGATCAATCATTTCCTTGGATATGATCAAGACTATTGTCTATTATTTTTTGCAAACATGAGGTAACAAGATTTCGTAATTGAATTTGATATTTTTATAATTTAAAAGACGTCTATCTTTTTTTGTTTTTGGTCTCTCTTTTGCAAGTCAGTACTTCGTCTTTACGATAACGGTGACAGCCTTGTCTAGCTCCTTTTGCATTATGATTGTTTTTCAGCAGAAAGGCATGCAGAAAGCTTGTAACGGGAAATAAATGACGATTGTGATTGTGATTGTTTTTGAATTGCAAAACTTGTGGCCGCAGGATTACTTGGCAGACGTTCAAAGAAACAAGTTTAGATACAGATATGATCTGAATCAATTCGAATTAATTGAGATACCGATATGATGCAGAGAGGGGTAAGGGAAAACAAACCACCTCCATTTGGATTCAATCTATGATCTGTTCGTTTCTTTTGATTTTTGAGTGTGGTCTTCCCATTTGAATTCTTCCGAAGGCGATGCTGTCCCAATCACTCAAAAAGTCAAATGAGGCTTTCGTTTTCATACATCATTTTTTAAATGGAACTTTAACGCTTTTGTTGTTAATTATTAGTTTATAAAAACCACAATTATTCATTTCATTCAAAAATATAAAATATTTTAATATTTTAAAATATAATTATTATTATTTTTAAAAAAGTATCTGTATTGATGTTAACTTTATATTTATTATAGAGTATTTAATAGAATAAATATAAAAAGATAGAGTTAGTTTGAAAGTAGATAACTATTTTATTAAGTGAGATTCAATTAAAAATATCTTATATTTTTAAATGGAGTGAGTATTCATTATTACAATAAAACTGTGTGTCAAATTTATCGATTTTTTATATAATTTCAATTTAGACCCCTTGATCATACTTAAAAAAAAAATCCTTTAAGCTCTAAAACTTTACTTCTAACCAAGAGTAGTGAAGTGACATTAAAATGTTGAGAGAAATGAAACAATTAATCATATTTTAAATTAAAAATGAAACCTTCTCCCTTTCCTCTTCTCTCTTTGAAGACGAACAAGCAAACTCCATAAATAGCCAACATTTTAAAGCAAATTTTAGATTGGATAAGTAAAAATCAAGAAATAGAAAGCATTGAATGAATTCAGGCTTAAATTTGAATATTTGTGGCGTTGCAGTAAAAAGAACGAACCAAATCCAAAACTCTAGGGTCTAGATTGATCACTTAACAAGAAAGAAAGCAAGAGAAGAAGTACGAGTGAGACCAAAAAAAAAACACAAGTTATGACAAAGGAAGAAGAACATGAAGCTGTGATTGAAAAATATGTGATCGTGATAGTGTTTTTTTGTGTATGTATGAACAAGTTATTGGACAAATGGGAATGAACAAATGAAGGCAAGGCTATAAGCAAATCATGTTGAGAAATGAACAATTGTTGTAAGAAAATAAACAAATTCCATATGAGGAATTTGCAATTCATTTCACTATGATAACAATATTAAGAATAAAATCAAGTGAAGCTAAACACAACAACAACTTTTGTAATGAAATTAACTACTTCAGTATGGGAAATGAATCATTTCAATATGAGAAATAGACAGTTTCAGTATGAGAAATTTGCAACTCTTTTTATCATGATAATAACATTAAGAATAAAATCAAGTGAAAATATACACACAAACAACTCTTATAAAAAAATTAACTACTTCAGTATGGATAATAAATAATTTCAGTACGAGAAATTTGTAGCTCTTTCTACAATAACAAGAGTACTAAAAATAAAATCAAATAAAGTTACTAAAATGGTTAATTTTCAAACAAGAGTTGTGTAACATTTTAAAATTTACACTAATTTTTTTTTCGCAAATTAGATAATCTCATAACAAACTTTATCCACTAAATACATATCATAATAGAAAAGAGTCTATTATGATAATAAATAATAAAACTTACTTTTCAAAACACTACCATGGTAAACATTATGATAGAAGAAGGGCTACCTTGGTAACTAACAATCGATCATTTTTGTAAAAATATACTACCAAATTAGACTATTATGATAGAAAATATTAAATATAGCAAAATAGAACTATTATGATAAATAAAGAAGTAACTTGCACAAGTTGTGCTAAATAAAGTACTGAATAAAATAATCAATACTTCATGGGATGTCATTAGAATGAAGAGTTTAAAACTAATAAGAGGATGAAGAGGTATTTAAAATCAAAACATAATTCTCAAGGGGCTAAATTGTCCAAAATAAGTTATATAGGTGTAAAAGGGTAAAGATGACCCTTTTAGAAATAAATTTTAAACACGAGGGCATTTTTGTCAAAAAAATGAGGACTATTTGCTACGGTTGACGTTCGTTTGCCATGGTGGAAGGCACATTGAGCTACTCTCTAGAGAAGGGTTTATACCATGGAGTATGCACTAGAAACGCTAGAGCATGACACAGAGAAGGCATTCCCTCTTTGTGTTGTGCATCCTGGCAAACACACACAAGCCAAAACACATTGCTTTGATAGCAAATTCACAAAATGCACAACAATTGCAAACTTTGGTCGAGCATAACTTCTTGCACAGACATTCAATTTGAGTGATTTAAATATTTACACAAAGCTTGCCATAAGGTCTTGCTAATGGCTTTGATTTGATATAAAAAGTCCTCCAAATAAGGATTTTATTCACCTAAACTGATTAAGAGAAAAAACACAACTTCCCAAACACTTAACATTTTACAAATCAAAACCAAAGCCTTTAGCCATTATGTAAAACACTTGACCAATTCAAACCACAACAATTTTATATCATCAACTTGATACATGCATTTAAAGCTTTTATAGTTAGGTTACAGCTACCCAATATAATTTAAGTAGAAAATGCAATGACATATGAAACTATAAATTCTTTTCCATTCAAAATACTTGGTTAATTATCTAAGCATATCAAGAGGTCATGAAAGTCACACCCATTTCATGGCAAGCAATTACATATATCATTAGAACAAAGAGTCACATGCTTACAATATAAATTTTATGCCTTATGGTTGGCACATATACATACACTCAACAAAATAAAGGCCAACTAGGTCAAGTGTTGTCTATACACAACAACTACTTTCTCGATGTTTCTCCACCTAGACTTTTTCTTGTAAAAAAAATACTAACCACAGCGAGTAAGACACAAGGGTCTCAATGATCAAAATTAATATAAAAGAATGCATGTAATGCAACTAACCATGCAATTGCTGAATAGGGCATACAAGATATTTTTCAAATAATATTAATCGAACAATCTAAACAATAAAAAATGATATATGACAACTCATACCTTGTGCTCGGAACCAAGCCACCTAGCTAAAGGCGAGTTCCTTCAAGCGACAAGCCACTTACGTGATCCAATAAGGGCTTATCACATGATGAGTATATTGAGAATAAAATTTTCAACAATACTATTTCAAACCTGACAAATCATGCATACTTCAAAACAAAATCTCTAATAACACTACCTTAAACCTGACAAGTCATGCATATTTTAAATATTTCTCAACAAAATATTTATCTGTTTGTGTTTGTGTGCATGTTTTTTAATTTTATCATTTCCTTCAACAATTTAATTTAACTCTGCTACCCTAGATTTGAAGTAAATTTTCATAATTTAAGAGGCTGTATTTTTAATTTAATGTGTTCTAGGGGTTTAGATTGAAATCTTCCCATATAGTAATTCCTTATGCAATGTGATTTTAGTCATTTGCATTCCATGTATGATGTTTTTTCAGACTGATGAACTAATTAAATTGAATTTAATTAAAAAGCAAAACGACAAAAGGATATAAAGCACAGAGTTAGTGCTTATTTGACCTGTAATAATAGAGTTTTTACCTCAATAGAAAAGCACATTCAATGACCTGTAATAACGCCTCCCATATGTATTTTTTATTTGTGTAATTTCAGTTATTTACACAGGAACACTGTAATTAAACTGCGTCGGCCATTGTAAAACAATACAATTTTTTTAGAAGTAAAAAACAATACGATTTAGAAGATCATTTGTGAGCGTGACACTCTTTACATGAAACCAATAGACCCAATAGTTGCAATGTAAAAGATTGCCAGACTAGTGTTGAAAGAAGAATCTCTGGTGCCCCTTGATTTTTATTCCAATGAAGAATATGAGTAGGTCCATAGCTTCTCACTTATATAAGCCTTTTTATTCAATTATTTGTTAAGATTCACTTTATTTAAAATAAGTAATACAAATTTTAATTTAAAAATACAAGCACATATTATAAAGTTTATGAAAATAAACATAAATTTAAATAGGTACGTAGTTTTTAAACACGAAATCCGATTAGCTGACCGTATTTCGGTGACAAGGATGTGGATCCCTTCATAAATCAGGTATACAACAGCGTACACGAGGAAAGAGATCAAGGCAAGCATGCCTGAGACTGAGAGTGGCCAAGAAAATAAAAAAGTAACAAGTACTGGTATGGCTCAGAGCGAGGATGCCCCACCGCAACGTGCAGCCTCAGCTGTCTAACCTACAAATTCAGCAGCGAGCTCATCTGCTTCCGACATCAACCTGCTCCGCCACTGCACTCTCTGGCTTTCCCTCCTCTCCCACCAACATGAACCCCTGTTCCTATAGCCGTTAGATTTATTCCCCCTTTCACGCCCAACTATATCAACCGCTTCTCTGAAATCTCCCTGTTTTCCCCATCTGATCCCCAATGGGTTGCTGCGTCAGCACGGTTGAATCCTCCAAGAGTCCCCCAGATGGCCGGCACCATCACAAATCCAATGCCACCGTTGAAGTAGAAAGCAGATCCCCGCCTGCAGCTGAAGAGGAAACTGTCAAAGAGGTTCTATCGGAAACGCCCATATCCAAATCTCAACTTCCACTCTTCACGACAGACGCGAAAACACAAATGCCCGCCATTCAACCTCAAAACAAATTCCAATTCCACGATCTGCAACAGGTTTTCTCCACGCCTCAAATTGCATTCTCCCTGCAAGACAGCAAAATCCCGATGCCCCACGCACCACCTCCGCCTGACAATTTCGACTCCAAGGAGGAGGTTTCCGAGGTGTCTCAGCTTTCGGAATTGTGCAGCGTGACCGAGAGCTTTTCCACAGCCACCACGGCCACGATTGGAGAAAGGAGAGAAGACGAAGCGACGAGTAAACGAAGCAGCAGAGAAACAACTAGTCAGAGATTGATTCGCTCTCCCTCATCAAATCCGCCCAGGAAGCGTCCTTACAACGTCGACAGTGCCAATGCCAGAGAACGGAGGTCCAAATCTCCGGCGAGGAGAGCACAGCCTTCGCCGGAGAAAAGGAATCAGGGGAATACGAGGACGGTTCGCGAAAGGGAATCTGGTCAGGCGACTGCGAGAAAGCCAAACGCGGGGTCCACCGGAGTCCGACGTGACGCCGGGGAGAAATCCGGGAGGCGATCGAGGTCACCGTCTACAAGGATGAACCAGAGCAAGGTAAATGCCGGTGGTCGGAGTCAGCTAAAGCCAGCGGGAGGGACCGGTCGGCAATTGCCGCCGCCGTCCAAGGCTACAGAGGATGAGAATAACGGGGGTGAGAAAATCGAGGACGGAAACGACGGCGTTCCGCGAGAGTCTCTCGAGAATCCCCATGTTTCCATGGAGTGCTTCATTTTTCTTTAGATATCGGAAGCACGCATTCCGAGCATTTCACATGGCTTGCTTTCTTTCAATATTTATTTTTATGTTTAATTTTAATTTTTTGTTGGAGGTGCACGTTAAATTTCTTTTTTTCCTTTAATGCACGTTAAAAAGTTTGTATTGCCGTGCTTGGTCGCTTGGGCCTTGATGACAATTCGCTACTGTAAATATCTACAGTTTTAGTTCCCCCCCCCCCCCCAACCCCCAAAAGAAAGGTAGTCAGTGTGCTGGGGAAGGAGAGCCGAGAATTCAAAAGGATTTTCTCTGCCCTTGAGTCGTTTTCTCCATTTACTGTTTTTAAAAATTAAAAGGTTGAGTGATACTGACTGTGATGGACTGATGGTGGTGACCACCGTCTTGGGATAGGGAAAAGGCAAATGGAAATCCGGAAATGGTCCTCGAAATTGAGTATGGCTCGTTTTCTTTTATAGGGATAGGAGAGGACAAAGAGACTTCTTTGGTTTCGCGGCGTCGCTGAGCATCGTCTTCTTCCTGTGGGCCTTGCAATGTCCAGACCAGAGTTGGGTAGAATCTTCCCCTACCAAAGAAAATTGCTCTTCATAATTTCCCCCTTCCCACGGGTCATAATTGTATTTTACCTGCTAAATATAAAGAATTCCTTTTTATCTTCACTACTGTATAAAAACATTAGTGATTTAGTTAATATAAAAAGATGTACTAACAGTTCATTTTTAGCTGTTGCCAGGAGGACATGAAGCTTGCCAGTTAAGTACGCTAATCACTTCAATTTAGTTAAACAAAAATGCCGAAAATAGAGCACGCAGCTATTTCTTTTCTTGTTTCCCGACTCCAAAAGGTTTTCTCGCTCAAATAAAACCGAATATTATATGAAGATATTTCTTGTGCTTATCCACAGTCATTCTAAGTTTCTTGAAGCTATGACACTGTCATAATGCTATGAAAGAAATAGCGGAGACTCAATCCTTTATGAACTCAAACCACTCTCACAAACAAATTTGTATTTGCTACTGCTCCATCAATTTCTTTTTTCCAGGCACAGCGAATTCTCTCATTCCTCATCAGTTCATCTGTAATGTTTTCAAGTTATTTTTCGGTGTCCCTGCTCTTCAGCAGGCTCTGATTCATTGCTAGGCGATTCTGCAATATCGCTACTGGAACCTTCTTGTTTATCATTATATGATGGAAGAGTTGACATTAATTTTGGATTAGAAGCAAAATATGCAGTCGCCCCGCCTGTTAATCAATAGGCAACAAAGAGATTGTAATTCTTAATAAGCTCACCTAATGTTTGCCTTCCCGAAACATGTTTTGAAATTTATAACTGGCTTAAATTGACAGTAATCCAGAAAAGATATGCTTGTGCACGATGACATTTATGGTATGAAATCGATCCATTTTGACAAAGAGGGTTTCCCTTTTCCTCGAACCATAAACAAGAGGTCCAAATGCGATTTACTTTGTATGCAAGCTTAAGAGTATGTGCATCGAAGATCCAAATGATCAGATCAGAGTTCAAAGGCATTAGTTAACACACTCCCAAATGACATGTACCTGACTGCCTGCATGCTGCAGCAGACGACAGAAAGGAGGAGTAATTACTTCTGCTTCTAACAGCATTACAAGTTAAAGGGCACACCACTGGGTGAGACCAGACCGGAGATGCTAGATTGCTAGTACAGAAAGGAGGAATAATTACTTATTACTTATAGAGCGCCATTCAATAACGTGGTGGGCTCTGGGGGACACGGTACAGCAGCAGGATGTGCAATGAATCTTGGAATTCGCTCGCCAGGCATCAACACAAATACTCCTCTCTCATGCTTTGATGTCTGAACAAAACACAAACACAAGGCATTGTTTTGAATTTGCATAGAGAAGTGAGACAGGACAGGAACACACAGGCAAGACAAATGCACTTTAAGCTGAAGATTAGTGCCCATGAGCCATGACAGATGATAAAAGGGAAAGAAGCTAATTCCTAATAGAAATAACTGAACTACATGATTAGTAGGGAAAATTTAGATCCTTGCTCCTTGGAGCCAGAAGGCTAGAGCTACAAAGCACCTAACTAAAACTTCTGCACATAATATTTTCCATGCAAGAAAGATCTTCACTTTCTTCATTTAGAATTTTCATCCATGAAGAGTAATGAACAAATCAGCAACCAACCTAAGTTTCTTTTGGGCCATATTTATGCATCCTTTCTAGGAGGGACAAAAGCGACATTGCTAGAAACACCACTGAATATATGAATGATGGCCTGCAATCAATTACATAGTTTGAAATTCGGTCCGAAGGAAGTGAAACATTAGTCTTGGTTCCACTATCATAGTAGGGAATGAGAAGTGAGGAGCAGATGAGAGAACAGGAAGGGCGAGGTCACCTTGGGAGATGGAAGAAGGAGCTTTGTATGAAACAACATCTGGTCTTCAATATCCGTCGGAGTTGGAGCAGCAGATTCAGCTGCTGATGTTTGCCTAAGAAACCTCTCGAAGATAGCCAGAAGAAGAAACAATGAAATGAGAATGGCGGTGGCGACGAATCCAAAAGGAAAAGCACTCACAGAGTTGTCGAAATGCCTCCAGTGCTCTTCTCCTGGGGAATTCAACTGTGCCACCGTTGGAGATAGTTCCATGCCCCACCTTCTTCTCCACACGCATTCGACGCTCTCGAAGTAATTTTTCTTTCAAAGAACACAGCAGTAAATAATGGCAGGCCCACGCCTTTACGCTTGGACGATCATGAGTGTCTCCAAATAATGGAACGAGCTCACGTGCAGAGATAGGCACTCCCTCGGCCATCTGTGAAGTCCTTCGAGATGCTGTTCATCACATGATGACCGTGGAGGCCGAGGATTTTCACGCGCCCAAGTCCCCCCATTTTTCAAGGGACCACAATGTTTCATACATCGCCTGCCTAAAAATTTCATGCCGACTTTGAAGTTTGATGAGTAGTCGACCAAAGGTCGGTTTAATAGGCCCAAATACATGCGTCCGCTTTCCATGCTCTTCAGGTGATGGGCCAGATGAGAAATTTGGATTATTTAAATTTTTAATCTGAATGGTCTAATTATTTTATTTTATTTTAATTTGAATGATTTGCTTTTATTTATTTTAATTTTAGTTTTTATTTTATATTTATTAAAATTAAATTAAAATTTTAATAAATTTGTTTTATTATCAATTTGAATGATATAGATTTATTCTGAATGATATAATTTAATATTAAAGATTTTTTAATTTTTATAAATTAATTATCTATGTATTCTTTATACGGTTTAGATTTAAAAGTTTTAAATTACAAATTTTTTCTTATTTTTTTAAATAGAAAGATTGAAGATTGCTATCTTATTTTTATTTTTAATATTATACTTATTAAAATAAAAATTTATTAAAATTATAAAAAATATTTAATATTAAATCCAAACTGAATAAAATATATTTAGATAGTTAATTTATAAACATATAAAAAATTAAATATTAAATTAAACAATACAGATTAAATATGTATTATCTAAGTTGATGATAAAATAAATTTATTAAATTTTTATAATTTTTCATAATAAATATAAAATAAAAATCTAAAAATTTGAACCTTCCAAATTTAGATGCTCATCACATGGTCGAATCCAAAGGCCAAATGCATGAGTTCAAATTTTGTTGACTCTAGTCTTGTGAGCTTTCAAGGCCCGACAAATTAAATATGAAAGAAAGAAAACTTTATAATTGAGTCCTGTCATGAGGACAAATAATGGGATAACTGAAATGATCTTGTACGTATATGCACACACAAGGGAGCTTAATTCCTACTCTATATTTCCCATGTCTTTTTTTTTTTTAAGTCACAAATTTATGTTTAAAGAGGGAGATTGTTTGCCTCGTTGTTTCGCAAGTATTGATTGTATTGTATGTTTGGGAAAGCAATCATTACTGGATTATACTCCATTCATGTTCATAGATAAGTAAATTTTAATTAATTTATACATTTCCAGAAGGTTAATTGATCCAAGTAACTATAATTAAAATTACTAATTTTAATTATAATATCGTTGTGATTAATCTTTAACGTGATAAAGAATTGTGTTTGTCTCGTGAAAATAAATTGTAGTTTTATAAAAGGTGAGGTTTAAAAAATATGTCACAAAAATTTCTCTAAAATTATTATTTCACTTATAAACAAATGAGAAATCACAATAAAGTTTGTGCAAACGAAGGAAGTATGCGGTAACGCAATAATTAATATATTCGTGATAGGTAAAGAAGGATATAATACTGGAGGGACAACCAATGAGAAATGGAAAAGAGACTTGCTTGGCCATCGAAGCAAGTAAAGGGCGAGCAGTGATGCTACACACGCTAACTAAGCTGATTCCCCTGCATAAAAGATAAAAATAAAATAAAATATATGAATTACAAATAATTTAATTTTATGTACTCAGAGTATCATATTTAGTGTATTTAAATAAATTGAAATTTAAATAATAATTTATTCTATATTAAAAATAGCTTAGCCCAGATATATTAACACATAAAATAATTATTATTTTATCTTAAAGCATGTAATCTCTTAAAATATTTGTACTTTTTCTCTGATTAATAGGTGAGAAAAGTTTGAAATCAAGTCAAAAACATATACTTTTTATTAATTTTTCACCCAAGATTAATTAAAGAAAAAAATTTCCACCAAGAAATATCATAAGACACATTATTGTTTATCTCGTGTAAATTAAAATTTAAATAATAATTTTTATTTTATGATATGTTACCCTTAACATAAGGGTAACTATTTAAGGGCTTTATGTGTATTAAAAAATTATTCTTGAATCCAAATTTTGTTGCCCATGCATCATCTTAAAAAAAATAAAATATATATTATAATAAAGGCTATACAATAATTCATGTCATAATTGTATTTATAAATTATAATATATATTAAATAATGATTTTAAGTTAAACAAATAGCATAGCTAATATTATAATATTCTCTCCTATTTTATATATAAGTTACTTTTAATTTAACCACCTCATTATAATTAAGGAGATGAGTTAAATTTTTAGTTTTTGTCTAAAAAAAATTCAATTTGCTTTTGTTAAATGTACCATATTTAAAAATAATTTCTCTTTTATATGTAACTTTTTTCTATGTTCATCAAAAATATAATTTTTTATTTAACCTTGTATTTTAGTCTACTATTTATTATCATCGTTGCATACCAATACTCACAATTTTTGATTACAACCCTCATATTTTATTATTTATTTTTTCACTTTTAACTTTGCTCCTATTTTTATAACCATGGATACCACAATTAGGGCCCCACATTTTTAATAATTTTCTCAAAATTTTTCACTTATATAAAAATAAAAAACAAAATAGATTCATGAAAAACTTAATGGGTTTTACTGTTTAAAATACTGTTGATGAACAATGAAAGCTATTTAACTTTAATAAACAAACAAACATATATATATTTCAACGATCGAATGAAAATTTTCTCCTTCCTTTTTAATTTGTGTCAGATTGGCACTGCAGTTCTATAAGGCCATCTGAAGCAATTATTTTTTATTTTTTATAAGTAAAAATTGTGTTAAAAATTAAATTTAAATTTTATATATTTATAATTTAATAAAAGACATTTATAATTAGACAGTAGACATTCACGCAAACGATATAGAAGAGTATTTTTTTAAAATTTTATGAGAAAAAATCATTAATATTTTAAAATAACAATTTTTTTTTTTTAACAACCAACTCATGAGTTAGACGTATTTAAATTTCCAATAAACATCTTCCGTGCAGAGGGAGTGCAAGGGAAGGGGCGGAGAGCCGGAGACTGGAGAGGAAAGAGGTACAGATCCTTGGAATCTGGCCCCCGAAGTTATTAGTGTTGGAGGAGGCAATAATAATGTTGAAAAACAACCTCGTTGAGCGGGCGATTTGATGCCAAATTCATTCCAGCTTGCCCGTAGCATTAATGGTAAACGTTGCTATTAATATTTTATTTAACATACTGCCAACTTAAATAAGCATTGGTCCCTTGCAAAAAAAAAATAATAATAATAATTTAAAATTAAAACAGATTGGTTTTTCTTTCATAATCCGACTTCTCTCGCTCTTTTTTTACGTTCTAACTTTCTCTCGTTTTATAACATATCTTAAGAAATAATTTGATATCTTAAACATAAGATGTTTTGGAAAAAAATATAATTTTATTAAAAATAATTATTTCACTCTTTGAATCAAATTCCTTACATTTTTCTATTTTTAATTATTGAAGAGTATTTCTAAAAATTTATAAAAATTACTGAAGTTAAAAATTGTATTAAATTAATTTTATCAGCATATGTAATTTTATTAAAAAATATTTTATAAATGGGGACGAATGAGTGCTTTACAAAAATAAGAAATATCTCAATTATAATGTGTATATATTTTTATCATTTACTCCTTCTGTTTAAAAATATAAAATATTTTTTAAAAAATTAGATATTTAAAAATGTAAAATATTTTTAGTCTTTCGAGATATAATTATTAGCTTTTCTTTTAAAAGTGCCTTTGTTAATAATGAATTTTTATTTATTTTAGAATATTTAATATGAATAAATATGAAAAGATAGGGTTAGTTGAAAAATAAGAAACTACCTTATTGAGGGATGAAATTTGATTAAAAATCTCTTACATTTTTTAACAGAGGAAATAACTTTTATAGTAAATAAAATAATACTTCATCTTAAAATATACAGTACTTTTAAAAGAGTTTTTTCCTACTAAAATATAAAATATTTTAAAAAAATTAAAATTTTATTAAATGTATCAATTATAATATCATTTTTTTATGATTAATTTTTATAACTTCTCTTTTCAATATATTAATAATGAATATTTTAAAAATTTTATATTTTTTTAAAAATAAAATTGTCAAATATAATTAATGAGAATTATTAATATATAATTTTTTTAAAAAATTATTTTATAATTTAATGTAAAAGATATAATAATGTTTTTTAATTTAAAAAAAAAAGTACTACTTGAGTCAGAGGGAAATCGGTGAAGATGCTAAAAAGAAAAAGTACTTTCACCACGTTTTCAAATTCGACAAACCCCGATGTCCCGATCTCTGATTGGAGGGTACGGCCTTGCCAGTGATGCGACTGAAGTAAGAAGAAGCTATCATGCCCTGCCCCCTTGCCTGTAGCGATCTAGTCCCTTCTTATTATAATTTATAACATCTGTCAAAGATATTCAAGTTGCAAAAATATTTTATTATTTACGTACAGTATGTGTCAGTCATGAATTCAATTTAATTACTCTATTAATGTTCCACTGGAGAAAGTGAGCCTCCTCTTTTCTGCCTGCCGCCTGTTTAGCCCCAGCCATAAAATAATACTGGTACGATATGATTTTTCATTCAACTATGAATAAAATAAAAAAAAAAAATATTTTTAAATAAAATTAATAGGGGCTGGAGTGATTCTAGTAATTTAATAATAACATCTATATGATTAAACAATGATCAATTTAAAATGTTTCATAACTCATTTTTCATTTGGGAAGCTGAAGGCAAGATCTCACCGAGCATGAAAGGGAAAAAAGAGCTGCCGACTTAATTTCTAATGAATGGTTGCTGGAAAGTATCTGGGGTCTAAAATTGACACTGCAGCTCTCGATAAAACATAAGCTGCTGCTACTCTGCTCATATCAGAAGGCAAGACCGCATTATATGGCCTAATAGGGAATTAACTGTGAAGTTTGACTGCAAAGTAGAGCAGGAAAAGATTGAGATTAATGCTATACGAGCAGTCAGCCAGTCATGCACGCCACAGCTTGTATAGGGTCCAAAAAGAACTGAGGGAGAGAAAACAAGTGTGCC